GTCCAGACCCTGCTTTGCACATATCTTCAAGGCACACATTCCTATTTCATACTTAGCAGCTTTTGAAGTTATTTACATTTTTATGGTTATGTGATTAGTGTGTATCTTTTCTACCTAGCTAAGTTCATCTGTTTTGAGCTGCATCTTCTGGGGCTGGCATATAGTTAGGATATAACTATTTTCTGGAACATCTTTCTTTCATTCTCAATCAAAAGACACCAATCCAGATTTGATCCAGAAGAGCCACAGCACAATGGTCAGTAATTTCATTTAGCATCAAAGGACTTTCGTTCCTTCACTAACTTTGCAACTTTGAACATTCAGAAAAACTCAGATCCATGAACTCTCAACTCAGTTAAATGAAAATAATAAACACCTCACGGTGCTGACATAAGAATTAAGATGAGGATTATGATTACTTCTTTGTCTTTTGGCTGACATCAAGTGTAAAATGAGGCCTACAAAAGAAAGGCCTGGGCTGGGCATGGTGGCGCACGCCTTTAATCCCAGTACTCCGGAGGCAGAGGCAGGCAGATCTTTGGGAGCTCGAGGCCAGTCTGGTTTCCATTAGCGAATCCAGGCCAGTTGGAGCTACAGGGAGACACTGTCTCAAAAAGACAAAAAAAAAAAAAAAAAAAAGGCCTGAAGATATGAGTAGTATTTGTATTGTTTAAGAACCTGGGTTGGGGGCTGGAGAGATGGCTCAGCAGTTAAGAACACTGACTGTTCTTGCAGAAGACCTGGATTCAAATCCCAGCACCCATATACCCATATGGCAGCTAACAACTGTTCATAAGTCCAGTTCCAGGGGATCCTGATAGCCTCTTCTGTCCTCTGCCGGCATTGCATGACACGGGTGCACTTACACATGCAGGCAGTACACACATACACATAAAAATAATAAATAAAAATATTTTTTAATAAAAAGAACCTGGGTTGACAGGGCTGGAGAGATGGATGGCTTAGAGGTTAATAGCATTGGCTGCTCTTGCAGAGGACTCGGGTTCTGTTTCCAGCACCCACATGGCAGCTAACAACTGTCCTTAACTCCAGTTCCGGGGATCTGACTACCTCTTCTGACCTCTGTGGGCATCACACGACACCAGTGCACTTACACATATGTAGGCAATACACTCATACACATAAAATAAAAAATAAAAATTTTTTTATTATCAAATTTTTTAGCATCTTATGTTTTCTGAAATTATGTTTAGAGAAAAAATTTTATTAATGGTATTAAATAACAATTTAAATCCTATACATTGATTGAATCACCAATTATAATCTAAATAAGTTTTTAAAAACTATTTCAAGTTGAGTATGTGGGGCAAACACTGATAACCCCAGTACTGGGATGGCTACGGCAGGAGGATTACAAATTTAAGGGCAGCCTGTGCTACATAGTGAGACCATATCGCAACAAACCACTATTTCACTGAAATTACTTTTATCTTTGTAGGCATTCATCAGTAAGGACTGGGCTTCAATACCCAGCCACCTCTAATTTTTTTTTAACTTTTAACTAGCTGTTAAATGTGCATTCAGATAGGCATTAACTTTTTTAGCACATGATATTAATAATGACTAGAATAACCCTGGTAGAATAAAACAACAAAATATAAACTGGTTTTAATTCTCTAAAGACCAGGTCATTCGAAGATGAGGCAACAACAGGGAGGCCAGTGGTAGCCTCCAGACATGGGCAGACCTCCTCTCAGATGTCTTAGATGGAGCACTCAGTCCTTCAGGATTCATCAATGTGAATAAAAATATTTTTTTACTTTATTTTTAAAGTATTTAATAACCACATGATTAGAAGAACCATTTCATTACAATAGCATTGACATATTCAATAACAATTTCCAGAGCAAAGATACATCTCTCTCAAAATTGACTGTGAATTTTTAGGTTCACAGTTGAATTAATATAGTTATACAATATTGTACTCAGTATAAACCCTGGTTTTAACCTTTAAAAAAGATCTCCATTTCATTTAAAAATATACTGTTTTATATAGAAAAACTCATTTTTAATGCAACCAAAACTTAGATGTTTGCACATGCATCTCTAATCTCTATGTATCTGATTATTACTAGTCACAGTAGGTTACTTTCTGAGGTCCTTGGCATCTGAGCATGGATATAAAGTCATCAGGTAGATTTCAATGATAATGTTTTTCACCTCTACTAATTAACATGAAGCATATTTTTATGCTTCTTCCTCAAATATAACTCATTTTTTATTGATTTTTCTTCACATAGATGGAACTGGTAAAAAATAAAAATAAAAAAGGAACCAGGGGCTCCTCCCAAGCCCATGTGACCCCTAAGGAACAGATCCTCAAAGGACCCTAAGAGTAAAAATCAATTGGTTTATCTGGGCCCACTGTGTGGTCTTAAACACCCAAAAGGAAAGTATAACCAAAGATTAAAGGGATCAATATAATTCTTTGAGTCCATGTGTATAGCTAAAGGCTACAGAACAAGAAACAATGCCAGACAGGAGATACCTTCCTTTGAGTTGTTGGCCAGGGTGGCCCAAGAGACTCCCAGACAGTAACCCAGCATAGAACTGGGAAAATGAACAGCAGACCCCAATCTTATCTAAAGCAATATTGGCAACTGATTGCTGCTAGATGAGGAAGAACTGATCTTCTTAAAACAAGGAACTCTAGATAGGCTGCCTAGACTCAGCAGAAGGACAAGCACTGGGGAGCAGCTGGGGGACAACACAGTAGACAGTAACAGAGATGACAGAGTATATGGACTCCAATGGGGGGGTATGGGAGGATGGGATGTGGGTCTATAGATGCATACAATTGTTTGGGATGTTCTGTATGAAATACACACGAAAAAATCAACACCAAAAAAAGGTGGGTTTTTTTTTCTTTTCGAGACAGGGTCTCCCTGTAGCCCCAGCTATCCTGGAACTCACTATGTAGACCAGGCTGGCCTTGAACTCACAGAGATTCGCCTGCCTCTCCCTCCCAAGTGCTGGGATTAAAGGCATGTGCCACCATGCCCGGCCAAAAATATTTTTAAAAGAACCTCGTTTGAGGGCCAGGCATGGTGGTGCACACTTTTAATCTCAGCATTCAGAAGGTAGAGGCAGGCAGATCTTTGTGAGATGGAGACCTGCCTGGTCTACATAGCAAATTCCAGGCCAGCTGGGACTACAGCCTCAAAAAACCAAAACCAAACAAAAACAAAAACATAAAACCTGGAAAGCCTGGGTTGTGCTAACAATTTAGCTCTGTAACCAGAGACCTGAATTCTAAGTCCAACTCATACAATTTATTATCTATGTGATTGATTTGACCATCCATCATTTGCTGGATTTTGATGCGGGCTCTGTCAGTTGCATTCATACACAATTCATTATGTATTCAGGCTTGTGTTATTACCTAAATCATGTTAAATAGTCTATGCTATTTTTTAGGCAATGTGAGCTCTTATAACCCTTTGCACATAGGAACTCAGTAAACATTAATATAATTTACATATATTTCAAGAATATTGAATATCTGCTGCATTTAAAGTACATTAGTAAAAGTAAGGAGAATGAGAAATCATATACACAGTTGCCATCATCATATATTCAGGATTCTTTTTCAAATAATTTCAAACCAAGGTGAATTGCAGAAATGACTGCCCAACAGGGACACTTAGATGATATTTGGAATAAACTCATTTGGCCTAATTTTCATAACGACAGATTTCAAAGAATACCACCACCCATGCCAGGTGTACCAGACGACCCCATTGTCAGTGTCTGCCCTGTAGGGGCCTCCGTAGTACACACCATTCAGGTTTGCAGAGTGACATCTAGTGGGAGAACAAAAGAAAACAGAGCCATCAGAAGAAAACTACACTTCATATACTTTTTATCTTGCTAAGAAATTATCAAAACTTTAAACTATGAAACTATGATTTATATTATTTCTCCAGATAAGTATCAGTTTCCAACATGTGAGACTTTTCTACAAACTGATATTTTTTTAAACAGGTGAGTTTTTTTGTTGTTGTTGGTTTGTTTTGTTTTGTTTTGTTTTAATCTTTAATCTTTTTGAGACAGTGTCTCCCTGTAGCTCCAGCTGGCCTGGAACTCACTATGTAGACCAGGCTGGCCTCGAACTCAAGGAGATCTGCTTGCCTCTGTCTCCAGAGAGCTGAGATTAAAGGCATGTGCCACCATGCCCAGCCAAAACAAGTGAGTTTTAACCCCACAATAAATCTGAGGATTCAGCCCACATCACTTGTAGCTTGTTCTTTGTTTTTTGAAAAACGAGCATTTCAGTTCTTAATAGGCTTTAAGCAAAAAAGAAAAACAAGCAAAGGAAAAATAAAATGAAAAGCTACAAAAATGAAAAAAAAAACCTGATAACAGTCAAACTTCTATCCTCCTGACAGAGTGCTGACCTCTGGGCTGGCGGGGTGGCATGGTTAACAAAGTAGAATGTGGGCAGGGGCCCCACTGCAGCTGCCTGAATAGTTAGTTATACGTCCAGCTTCACCAATCTGAGGACAAGATGTGATTTTTTTTAATTTAAACTCGCCTTCCGCCTCTTTAAATTGCTTGTGTATCAATTACTTTAATCTCAAAGGTAAGCAAACAGAACCCAAGCCGCCATTTGAAATTTTCCTAGCTATCAAGATTGTCTGAGTTATGAGTTAATTTTTTACCTATATTGCACCAATCTAGGTAAGTTTGTTAGGTTATCATAAAATTTAAAAATTTCCTTCTTCCTCCTTTGGAGTCTGTCCATTTGTTTGTCCTTGGAATATGCAACTTGCAGGTAATGATATGTGGTAATTTTATGTATTGATATTAATTACCATATATTTCTTTATTGCTATAACCAATGAAAAGATGTCAGACTATAGGCTATGAGGAGAATATTCACACGTAGCTCTGGAAAACCCTATTTTCAAAACCCTAAATTATTGAATCAAAAATGCATATAATTCCTTTATCATACATGCAAAGTGGCAGGCTTGGCTCACTTAGCTTAGGATCTGCTTTCATTAAACATTCTGAAACTTCTGATTTAAATGGCTGTGACTACTTGAAACCAGGCATACTAAATCTTCAAAGATTGAGTCTACTGTTTTTTAAACACCATGAGAAGTAACGTTAAAAGAGAAAACACTGCTAATTTGTCTTCCAGAACAAATGTTTTGGATTATCTTTACATAGAGACATCTGCTACATATAATTTTAATATTTGGTCTGATGTGAAGTCTAAGGAAATGGGATGTGTGGTCCACCCCTTAGAATTCTGATCAGTGTTCCAATATTCTTCAGTTTCTAGAACAGCCTAGACTTGGCATTAGCTGGGGGAGATAAAGAGGTAGCTGTGAGTGCTCCCAGGAAGTGCTCAGCCAATAAGGCCAGCAAGGCAGAGAAGGCAGAAGTGCTCAATGTTTGGTTGGCTAGGTCGTGGGAAATGAACCTGGGTCCTCTGCAAGAGCAGCCAGTGCTCTTAACCACTGAGCCATCTTTCTAACTCCACAGTTGCTTTTTAAATGGCTGTGACCAGGAAGCAAAAGGCTTCTACCAGAAGTGGGGCTGGACTATACTCAAGGCCTGCTTACAGTGACCCTCTTCCTCCAGGTGGGCCCCAGTTCTTAAAGGCTCCACAACATTCCTAAGCAGCACCCCTATCTGAGAAGCAAGTGTTCAAATACATAGACCTGTGGGGTACATTTCAACTCAAACCTTAGTAGTGAGGAATAATTGTAATATGCCAACACTTCCCATAAATTAGAAGAATTTAGGGCAAGTAAAATAAAGACCAAAAAATAAAAAAATTTTAAAACCCCCCAAAAAACAAAAGCAACAACAACAACAAAAAAACACCTGACAGAGCACCAAGTTTCTAGAACAATTTCTCTCCATTTTACTGGTTTTCCCTGAGTGGTTCCTGCTACTGAATTTCCCTTTTTGTTCTCCCTGAAATCCTATCTCTAAAGTCAAGTAGATCATATGTTTATCTACATTAAAATGTGTGCAATTGTCATTCAGGTGAAGAATAAGCCAACCCAATGAATAAAATATATGCTTTTGATCTTAGTAATATTGGTGATTATTTACGTATACAAAACTTCAAAATCAGACATTACTGAATGCTTGTTAATTATAGGTAAGTTTTAAATAATGCTAACTTAGATGAACAAGAGAAAGAAAAAAGAGGAGGCAGAGAGGCAGATAGTTCTTTAAAAGAACAGGAAAGTCAAGAGAGAAAAGATTACCTCCACCTTTCACTGCAAAGTAGGAAAAATTGCCTCCCTTCTCTGTCCTTTCATACTGTTGTACATATTCCAGTTCCTTAACAAATGGTTAAATAGTAAATGGACTCAAATTTCAAAAAAGTAAAATCCAGAAAAAAAAAAAACAAACTACTGTTTTACAACTGTACCTTCATCTTACCTAGTCAATCCCTTCAATTCATTGTATCTGCACTCAACCTATAAATCTAAAATCAGCCAGGCATGTTCGTGGTGACTCAGACATAATTCTAGCACTTGGGAGGCTGGGGGAGGAGGATTGGCATAAGTTCAAGGTCAACCTGGGCTGCCTAGTTGAGACTGTGTCTCAAAAAATATTAATTAAAAATCAACACATAACAATAATTGATGTTATAATGAAGACTTTCATTGGTTTTAAGGGGAAATGGCCATATATGGTATATATTCACTCAATAGGATTGAGGATTCTAAAATGCTTTGGAGTACTTACACAAAAGGAAAAAATATAGTTGTGGATTTGCATGCATAGTCCTCAGTTACATGGCTAACATGACATTCTAGAAACACCAAAGGTTCCATAATGGAAAAATCTAACTGCCCAGATATTTTTAGGTGGTTCCTGTTTTCTAATGAAAAAAGACTTCCAAAGCTTGTGCATTGCCTAAGGATTGTTGCACGTCTGCTTTACACACATAGCAGGCCCACTGAGGCATTTTTTTAAAGGAAGACTTCATGAAGTTTCCATTCCTGCCTTAAATTCATGATTCCAACAAACGGAACTGTCTGGAAATCATCTCAGATGGAGAAGAGTCAAAGGAATCGGGGCTATCTGGTCCAGAGAAGAGAAAACACTAACAAATGCAAAGCATTACTTCTCATTCAGAGCCTGAAGAATTATGTTGAAACGAATTACAGCTGCTCTAGAGCTACCGACAGAAAACCTGGCTAGGTGCAAGAAGGCAGATTTCAGCCAGGCACAGTGGTACAAGTCTCCAATTCCAGCACTTGGGAGGTGGAGGCAGAGGATCAAGAGCTCAAGGTCAACCTCAGCTATACAGCCAGTTTAAAGTCAGCCTGGGCTACATGAGACTCTGCCTCAAAAGAAAAAAGAAGAGAGAGAGAGGGAGAGAGAGAGAGAGACAGAGAGACAGAGAGATAGAGAGACAGGGAGGGAGGGAGGAAGGAAGGAAGGAAGGAAGGAAGGAAGGAAGGAAGG